TGCATAGTTGAGTGACTTTTGAGTGAAAATTGAAAGTTGAGTGACTTTCTGAGAGAAAAGTGCATAGTTGAGTGACCATTTGAGGTACTAACTCTATTAATTGATCATCTTACTAAATCAATATTGAACAAGACGCAAATGAAATCATGATTTACTAGCCACGATATATTCGAATTTTTAACCAAACTAAGTCATTATATAAAACAATTTACCAAAGTAATACATTTTTCTAAAATTTTACAAAACTAGTTTAAATGTATTTCACGGTAACGTTTCAAGGTATATTTAGTTTTAAAAAAACTAACAACATTAGGTTGATATACGTTATTGTAAGTAACTTATTACTCCTAAAACGTTATTTTCAGTAACGTTTTACTCCTTAAACGTTATTGTCAGTAACGTTTTAAGAGTAAAACGTTACTGTGAGTAACATATATCAATCTGACGCCATCAACTTTTAAAAAATAAAATATATCCTAAAACGTTACTGTGGAATACGTTTATACTAATTTTGTAAAATTTTAGAAAAACATATTATTTTAGTGAATGGCTTTATATAATGGCTTAGTTTGGTTAAAACCTCCGATATATCCCCTAGCAGAAAGTATTAATTAAAAATTTTCTATACTGTCCTTGCAATAAATTTTTTTTAAGATGTTCACATTTATTTGTAAAATTTCCACGAAGTTTTTGAAAGGATGAACTAATAAAATTATCATCTTATTTATAATTTTTTAATATAAAAGAAAAATAGTCAACTAATATGAAACTAGATTAACAAGAAAGCGTGAAAAATAATAAGTAAAAAAAGCCTTAGTATGGACAATTAAGGAAGACAGTGCATTATGTTAAAGGGATCGCATGATAACGTGACGGAATATATTATTACATAGAAATTGACCAATAAAGTTAAATTATTTGCCAGTAGTTGCTTAGTAAGAGTTTTAAGTGGATATATACTTCTAACAGGAAAAAAGTAGAAGAATACTTGACAATTACTGATCAAAATGATTAAATAAAAACCAAAAAAAGAGGGTAAATTTAGGACAGTTGTTCACACCAAATGAAAGTGATTGATACATTATTTTAGCATAAAACACAAAGAGGAATGAGTCTTATTTACCATGTTCAAAAGTAGTTTTGGCTTTCTCCCTATCTTTTTGGAAGTTTGCTCCTTAAGAGGATTAATCTTGTGTTTCAACTGCTAATTTTATTAATTAGAGATCGGGCCAGCTGGGGGAAGTGGGAGCAATCTTGCTTTATCACAAAATATTGATTCATTAATCAATATTTTACTTTATGGAGGCATTAGCGAATCAATATATTAATGAAGCATAATGTTGATTCAAATCGAATTGATCATGAATCAAAAGATAAAAAATAAATTAATAAAAACAAAGGTTGAAGAGTATATTTTTATAATATGAAATGATTTATGATCACATTATGTTATGATCGGATTGCAGAGAGGTACAATTATATATATATATATATATTGATGATGAAACTGATAAGGGCACATGTGCACAATCAATATGTTTCAAAGCTGAAAATGGACAAGCATGGGATACGCTTTCACGTGCTTTGCTCAATATTATTATAATACTTACTCCAATATACAACTACCTAGTTTTTCACTTTTCTTTAGTACGACTGTGCTAATTTTAATGAATCGATCTGGATGGTTTTGACACTATATCAAAAATGATTATTAGCGATAATTAATTATTAAGTGTTATTAAATATATATTTTTAACGATTTTACATGTCACTAATGATATTGACACTTACTAATATAGATAAAAACTTTAGCACTCTTTATTAATGTCAATATTTAATATTACTACAAGTTATTTTTATTATAGTGAGATCAATAGTGTCATTGAAACTCTACGCATATCAAACTCATACGAGAAGCAATAAATAAATTATCCTGAATAATTATTTTTAATAGAAAGAATAAGTAAAAATAATATTTACCACATAATTAAATCTTACATAACTAAACTTTACATAACTCTTATCAGTAATCAAACGACATCTTAGTGTACTTAGCTGGCACGTAAATTTCTGTTATATATCAATTGAAAAAAGCATAATAATCAATATAATTCTAAAACTGGCCTATTAATTTACTACAAGTTACTTTGATTAATTAGTTAGTAGATGTACTATATAAACCTCCAACTGTGAAACCCATGAAAAGGTTATCACTTACCTACGTAATTTTTGTAACCTACAAAAGGGACAAATATCGAAATATGTGCAATTAATTACCCAAAATAGTACTCCCTACAAATAATCTTATTCAACTTGCATTTATAATGAATTTGGTACTACGTATACACCTATATAAAGCTGCTGTCTACTTGGAATGCTTTACTACCTTTTTACCGTAATTTTTGTGACACGATCAATTCATATACGTACAATAATAATTACCCTTAAGAAAACAAATATTCCGAAGAAGTACTGAATACATTTAATTTTTTTTATAAATTTTATACATTGTAATTTATATAATAAGATCAATATTTCTATAATTATAAGTGTATAAGACTAAAATATATGTATATGTATTTGTATTTGCATATTCATTTTTCTCTCTATCTATATAAATACAACTGTATTTTTCACATTTGTATATCAAATAGGTAATTGTATACCGAACTAGACACCAAAAAATGAAATATTTACTGCAAATTACAAATAAAATAAACTATATCTATAGCATTTAATTTAAATTAATAATTTGTTATATTTCATACAATTTTCCCTAGTTTATTTGATACTTGGGACCAGGATTTGTTGTATTCCTATTTATTATTTATTTTTACACCTATTTGTAGCTTACCAGCATCATAAAAATTGGTTTTTATTACATATATATTATGTTGAACAAATCGTTAAGAAGATTTTATGAGAAAAAATTATACTATCGGCTCATTTTTAGAGATAATTATTTTTTTTAATTTAATTATTATATTTTCATATTTAAAGTTTGTTGATTCTTTTGCCTTTTTAAAAAAAACACTCTCTATAAATTTATTTTGGAATAAAATTCAAATATTTTTATACTATATACTATGAGTATTACTTAAATAAATTAGTTTGGGTATTACTTAAATAAATTGAAATACATATGAAGGTATGTGGATCAAAGTTTATTTTTAATTAATTTTTGTATTATCGATAAGATGAAGTAAGAAGAGAATCGAAAAAAAAACTAAGAAAGAGAAAAGTTGAAGCATCTATTAAAAAAAATTTCATATTAGAAAGAAGACTTAATAAATTATGAATAATGTTTTTTATGAAATCAATTAGAAAAGATTTTTTTAAAAAAAAGTAAAAAGTTACCATTGATGATTGTCTCAAATTGCTTCAACGATGTTGACAGGGAATAAGGTAAAAATAATGAAAACAAGAAAACACTGCAAAAAATCTGCTCATCTTTGACAACCAAGAAGAATCCTAAATAAATTGATATAATTAATTTAGAGTTCAAATTATTATTTAGTACTTTTTCTTATTATTATTTAAGTACTAATAATGAGTGATATATTTAAAAAAATAAATATTTCTAAAAACAAGCTGATGATATAATTTATGTTGTCCATTGTCAGTGGATATAAGTTTGGATTTTGCGTCGCAATGGTAATTGCATTTTGGACATCAATTAATTAAACTTCTGAAACGAGTTTGTTTTTTCCCCAATATTTTGACATAAAAAAAAATTTATCCAAAAATATGTCATTTTTTTTTAAAAAAACTTAGAATATTGCATTACTGTTATTTATTTAGTCCATATGGATACCATCACGTCCATGAAATTAAAACAGCCAAAAAAGTAAGAAAATGAGAGGTGCAGGTCCTAGAATATTATTAAGAGCTGGATAGAAGCATTACATATGCAACTCAATGTTGGCCAGCTGAAATAAAGTGGAAATCCAATATATATATATAAAGAAACAAGAATAAAACAAATACTACGTATTTCTTTATTTTCTCTCTATATATATGAATTACTTTATTTATTTAATATTTATTTTGAGCGACGATCGATCTTTTATTATAATAATTCTATAAAGCTCTTAATAATAAAACTTACCATATGTGTTAAAAGTTCAAAGTAAAAAATTGCACCTGACCTTCACTTTCTTCGTCCATATGTTTTGTTGCTTTATTTTCTACTGACATAAGTGGTCCGTTCCTTTCCTCTTTTTGGACTCATTGTTTTCTGTTATTCATTTATTTATTTATTTCTTACTATACGTCCTTATTGCTTGATCGAACAGGCACATAATTTAAGAAGTATACAAAGATTTGTCTAGTTTAAAAATAAATAAACTTTTTTTAAAAATTATATATTTTTTGCTAAATAAGTGAAATACGATATAGAACATCTACAAATAAAAAATAATTTATTTATAAAGCTTATTAAAAAGGAAAGTGTGTCGAGGGAGAGTAGTAATTTAGAATTTGGGAAGCAATCTTTTAATCTTATACAATTAGTACTACTAATTTAAAACTCATGTATATGGTAAGGATAATTAGATTTTTTTTTGTTAATAATCTAGTCGTTAATTTTATTTATGCTTTACTAATTCGAATTAGATATTTAGCACAAAATATATCTTTTTTCATATACTGAAACTCAAGATCTCTATTTTAAGTTTTTAGCCATTCATCTCATCTATCACATAGGAAGGAAATAGATGAATATAACCTTTTATTTAAGAAAAAAATAATAATTTAGCAAAGGCATTTTTTGATGTAATTTTTGTAATTCTTATATTAAAAAACAAGATATTCCTTTGCATAAAACTCATCGATAGTAGGTAGCTATTATTAGTATGTTACTCACTACTCAAGCTGTTTCCACTCCAATAATTGGATGAATAAGAGAATATATATTTAAAAAAATCATTAAGCACTATTCATTTTTTGAATGATTTTTTTGCCTTTAAATTTAAATTAATCAAATTATTATCGAAGAAAAAAAAAACAAAAAAACACAGAGATGCTTCCCACTCTGTTTCTAGTTCCCCAATCCCACTACTCTCTTTTTTTCTGTAACACCCTTTAACTTTCCCGCTCTCTCTCTATCTCATGCTTGTGCTTTTTATGTATGTTCGTTCTTCTTCAACCTCTCTGAATTTCTTATTCCTTTTTATTCTTTTATTCAAAATTCATCTGAAATTTACCGTGAAAACTTCGAAACCACCATTTTCTTACCAGATTTTGAAGAAAATGAACAATAGATTCCGACAGCCTCCACACCCCAAAAAAGTTGCTTTGAATCCTCAAAAGGTGAATGAATTCTTCTACTCTTCTCTCTGTTGTGCTAACAACTTTAATTATGCTAAATTATTGAGATATTTCTCTTCTTTCTTGTCCCCTTTACTCTTTCTTCTTTTTCTTCCTTTATTTGGCCATTGTCTTTGAATAATACACAATCTGTACTGACAAAAGTTGTCATCTTTGGATCCAATTTCTGAATTGGACTCATATTCTCAATACCCCTTTTTAATTACTCATACAATTATTAATTCTTGATATAGGAGAAGAAGATGGAAATACAGCAAAACAAATTCTTGTCTGTAGAGAAGCCCAGAGTTAATCGGCGTCAAGCAGCTAAAGAGAGAAAATTAGCCTTACTACAAGATGTATACTTTATCTCAATTCTTTATATTCACAACATTTATTTTTTTCTGATTTTTTTCGCGTTCAAATTGGCAGGTTGATAAGCTAAAGAAGAAGTTGAGGCATGAAGAAAATATTCACAGAGCACTGGAAAGAGCTTTTTATAGACCTTTAGGAACTCTACCTCGCCTTCCTCCTTATCTTCCCAAATATGTTAGTACTTGTGGTTCAATTGAAATTTCTAATGATTTTTTTTTTCGCGTTTTCGTTCTGGAAATATTGAGTTCAGTTGAATTGATGAATAATGCAGACATTAGAGCTTCTTGCTGAAGTAGCTGTTTTGGAAGAAGAGGTGGTCCGGCTTGAGGAACAGGTTGTTAATTATAGACAAGGTCTCTATCAAGAAGCAGTTTCCATATGCTCAAGGCGAATTACGGATGATAATCATTTGTCTGATCCATGCCCTCAGTTACATGGTAAAGTTTCTAAGCAAAGACATTCAAGATCATTTTCCATGAGTGAAGTCAATCTCGGATCATCCGTGCCACACTCATCTCTTTGTCTAGATAGGAGTGCTTCAAGTAGAAAGTTGTTTCTAAAAGAATCAGTGTTTGGTAGCTCCAGAATTAGCTATGATGTAATATCAAATAGCAGACAAGCTGTTATGAAGAGTTGCAATGACTCATTGATAGATGGCCTACGAAAAGAGAATCACTCGGCTGAAAGTTGTACTAAGGATAAGCCATCTCCACAGAAGCAAGTGATAAAGACTTCGTTAGTAAGGCCTCCAGTTAAGCCTGAATCAATCAGCAAAATAGCAGATGTTAGGGTCCAGGTATAGACCATTCGGCAACCAGCAAGAAAGTTGGCATTTGATGCTTCACATGCCAATTGATCTTAATATAGTTCTATCTGTTCAGTGCAGGGTTGCAGAACAGGCACAAGAGAGCTATTTAGCTTCTTTAGATGAACGAGAATCGGAAGCTGAAAGCACAGAAAACAAAATCTCTGAAGACATTTTGAAGTGCTTGTCTAGCATCTTATTAAGGTTGAGCACATCTAAAGGGAAGATAACAAATCCAGAATCTTTTCGCTCTTTAGGAGCAAAAGTGTTAAATGAAAGCAATGGGGAAAGGGAGTTGCAAGATCCGTATTGCATTTGCTCGGAACTAAGGAAGCAAGATATTGGCGAATACAGATATATACTGAACATTGATGCTAACTCTGTTAATCTAAACCGGAAAATGAATGCTTCGTTTCTGATACACAGACTTAAGTAAGTTCTAGTCTATCTATCATTTTCTAGTAATTATGATTAAGGAGTCTATATATTTGCATGTCCTTAATGTGTCTTCCATTTTGAACCGAAGGATTCTCCTTGACAAGCTATCATCTGTGAAATTAGAGGGTTTGACTCATCATCAGAAGCTAGCATTCTGGATAAACACATACAATTCCTGCGTGATGAATGTAAGAGGCCAATGTTTTACCCAAAAGTTCAAGTAACGTTATACTCTGACTTAAGAAATAATTCCTTTTGTCACGAATCTGTCAGGCATTTATAGAGCATGGTATCCCGGAGACTGCTGAGCAGATTGTATCACTAATGCAGAAGGCAAGTTACTCAGTGATTATAATCCATGCTTCGTATATTAATAGTTGATCCATTAATACACGTTTCTCCTTTGTAATGGATCAGTTAAAAGTATATGTGGAGTAGGTTTTCCTGATACTGTGGCAAATGAACTCCGGAATCTATTTAACTTTCTGAATGAATTTCAACAGGCAACAATTAATGTGGGAGGGCATTTTCTAAATGCAATCATGATTGAGCACTTTATCTTGAGGCTACCGTACCACCTAAAATATGTAAGTTACCTTTCGATGTTCCTTAATCTGTTTTGCAGTTGTGTGAGCTTAGAGCAATCCTTTTTGAATTTTTCTTTCATTCAACAAACTCTTAAGCTATTTTTCCATCACTTGAAAGACCTGTTCAAAGTCAGCAAAAGACAATGAGCTGAAAGTTCGGAGCGTTTTTGGCTTGGAGTGGTCTGAACCTCTTGTCACATTTGCACTCTCCTGTGGAAGTTGGTCCTCCCCTGCAGTAAGTTTATCGACCATTTACTTTTTACCTTTTCAGTTTTTGCAAAATCATAGGCTTGACAATTCATTTTCCTGAGCTGGAAACTTCAAAAAGTATAGCTTTCTGAATGTCTACAAACAGAAATGACGCCATTTCACATATTAAGAAGTAAAAAAACATAATGGTTGAGAAAAGAATTCTGGCAAAATTAAAGAAAAAGCATTGTATAATGAGTCGGTTAATCATTCATCTCCTGAAGTAATTCTAAAATCGTATGTTGTGATCTTTAAACTTGGTGTTAACATAATGTTTCAAGTCTTGATATTATGTCCAAGTAATTCTAATTGTATGTTGTGATCTTCTCTATACTGAAGGTGAGGGTTTACACTGCATCTCAAGTTGAGACTCAGTTGGAAACAGCAAAAAGAGATTACTTACAAGCAGCAGTTGGTATTTCAGCAACAAATAAGCTCATTATTCCCAAGTTGTTGGATTGGTATCTTCTTGATTTTGCAAAGGACTTGGATGCATTACTAGATTGGGTGTGCCTCCAGCTACCAGATGAACTTAGAAATCAAACTATGAAATGCCTCGAGAGACGGGGAAGAGAACCCCTTTCACAATTAGTTCAAGCAATGCCTTACAATTTCAGCTTCAGGTACCTCATACACCAATAAGATATTCTCATGTGTCTCAGCTTCCACAAGTTCCAGAGTACTTGCTCAGAAGACGGAATAACATTTCAGAGGGAAGTGTTAATGGAACAAAGTATAGGATTGTAGCAAATTTAGTTTATGAAATTCTTTGTATCCCTTAGACACCTAGAGTTCATAAACTCGACGAGATCGTTATCTCTAGAGTAAGCAAAAATGTTGCTTGCTGAAACACAAGATTTGGAATCAGAGTATATGTGATATGATTACTTTGTAGATTGAATTCTGTAGCCAAGGTTGTGTTTCATTCGACTACTCTATTTTGGTCAGTGCCATAGTATATTGCTAGAAGAGTGTTTCGCTTGACTCTGATAAATATAAAAAATAACTTTAATAAGTTAAGAAGTGTTTGACATGGAAAAAAATAACTGAAAATAAGTCCAAAAACTGAGTCTTCCCACCTATGTTATATTTTTTTGACTTAAAAGTTATTTCAGTTTGACTTTTTATTTTTAATTTAAATAAGTCAATCTAAACAGGCTCTTACTTTTTATTTGTATTCTATAATTTTTCAGATATTTTACAAGAAAATTTGTTATACCTATTCTGTAGTACTTTTTTAGAGTCTTGGAAAATGTAATTTTATTTAGATGCATCAATGCTGTTACTATAAATGCAGCGATCTATTTTTCGTCATGATGTATGTTCAGGGGTATTTTAGCTTCAGATTGTGTTAAAAGGAACAAATTATGGAGATCATCTTGTGCAGTTATAGCAAGACAAGGCACCATAGTAACATCTATACAATGGTTGTAACAACAACAAGTATATTCCGTGTAAGCTCAAGTGGCACATGGGAATATAGTCATTGTAGACCTAAATAACAAGATCCAAAGAAATCAGTGTTTACAAGGACTAACATCTGTGGGAAAAATAAACATCATGATATGTTCAAAAAATAACATGTATTTAAAGAGAAAAAACCACACAAAAGAACACCCGCCGCTAATAGCAAAATTTTCTACAGGAACTGATTGCTGGAATTAGTTGCACACGGCCAAACTAGACATGGGAAACGGAGGATAGGAAAATATGATGTGGAGGGAACAAAAGAACACCAAATACAAAATGGATGATTACACTATGTACAAACAATTGAACTATGCTAATGCCAACACCACAACCACCAAGACCAGAATTTCTGAGGAAATTTTGTTTCAACCGGTAATTTCAGCCAAATGGAGAGGGAACAGGAACCACAAGTGCATCCGATCTTTTAATGCTACCCATACCACAAATAATACAGCCAGGTGATGACAGAGCAGAGAACTTGGCTCCACATAGATCGCACACATCATAACCAATGGTTGATAGACGGCTAAGCGTAGCAGCACAGAACTGGGATGGATCTTCTTGTGGATCAATTGACTTGTTGGACAATCCCCTTTGAACACATATGTCAACTAAGCTCCTCAATTCGTCTTGCTTGCCTGGAGGCGCCTTAGATAATAGAAGTTCAAGCATCTGCTTGGAATAGCCATAATTTTGTACGTCCATGTTCCTCTTGATAGCAGTTCGAATACAATTTATCCTGTGCTTAGCGAGAAGAGGCAGTGAACCCAAGTGTCGAGACAATCGTGCCATTTCATCCTTTGCACTGATTGCACTTGGCCCCTGAACTCTTTGCAGTCGGCTGATTTCCTGCAATGAAGTGACAAAGGACTCTTAGATGCCATTTGGCCATTGAATATTTTTTACTTCTTTCTAGAGTTGAATTTTGGAAATAATGTTTGGCCATAAAATTTCGGAAAAATTAGGAAAATTACCAGAATTTGAAAAACACCGAAAAACTGACCTTTTTTGTACTGCAAATCACTATAAAAAAAATAACTCTAATTTCCAAATATCATTTTTCACTTTGAAAACAAAAACCTTTTTTTTTTTTCAAATTTCACAATTTTCATGGCCAAACAGGCTGAAGCCACCCATTCAAACAAACAAAACCTTGAAATGGAAACCAAGTAATATTTGTTCAATATTGCTGTTGGCTAGTAAATAAAAGGTTCTCTTCAGCAATGAAGCTTAGATTTCAACCTAAGTCACCCATACACCGATAAATACATCTCCCCTTCCCGCTCCTCTCTCTTTAATCATCTTACCTGTTTACAAAGGCTATCTCAAACTACGTCCTGCATATGATGTAGGGACAAAACATAACTAGCTAGTGGGTTTGCTACATTAAATTCTAATGCAGAAAATTCTATTGAAAACAGCTGCATTTTGGGATGAAACATAAAGAACAGAAAAGAAGGGTTAGCTAGACTCCTACTTTTCTTATAGAGCTAATTGCGCTTTGTTCCTTGCAAATTCTAAATTTTAATCCATATTTAACCTTCTAAAACTAAGAACCTGTTTGGATTGGCTTAAAAGTGGCCAAACCTACTTTTACGTCATTTTTAGCTTTTGGAAATGTTTGGCAAAGTTATAAATGACTTTAAAAAAAGTTTTAAAGATAAAAGTAGGTACTCCTCTACATATCATTTTTTAACTTAAAAGTTACTAAAGTTGACTTTTAAAACGTTACCTTTTTTTTAAGTTCAACCAAACGGACTCTAAGAGTACAGTTGAGCACTTTTGGTATTTCCGCTAACAGATCTCTGTAAATATTCAATTTTAATCTCAAGACTAGTGGTATTAATTCAACCCACATGGTGAAGTAGTCTATAGTGGTGATAACAAAACGGTTATCTTGAAATATAAAAAGATGTCAATATCAGTCCTTAATGTTAAAAGAAATGAAGCTAGCAACTTGTATTAGGAACAGATTAGATTCACTTGGTAACTTCTAATGCAGTAGTCTACAAAGAAAAGACAGAAACATGATGAGGCAAACCAAAAAAGTAGAGACTGTAGCTATTTGGTAAAGGATTAAGGTACCTGAAGCAGAGTGACTGCAATTTTGTATTGTGCACATATTGTAGCTTGAGCTTTTATGTCAGCTCCACGAGATTGATCCTTAGCCAATGCCAAGAAAGCTTCATCAAAACAGGATAATGCATCTGGCAGCTGATTTTGCTCAAGATGGGCAAGACCAGTCTTGAAGCAAAGTGGAGCAACAGCCCCACGAGGAACCTATGACAAAGAAAAATGCAAATTGTAAGAAAATGATGAGGATTCTGACTTGGACATATTTTACCACAAGACTTTTAAGTTTCAACTGATACTAGTGCTCAAGGACCTCCTCAATGGTTGTCAGTAAATCTTTGTCGTATTTAGTTCCTTGAACCTCCATGCAAGGAGAAGATTTTAGAGAAAATTGTTACCCCCCCCCCCCCCCGTTTCAAAAAGAATGTCCTATTTTCTTTTTAGTTTGTTAAAAAGGTTGGCAACACTTTAACTTTAACTTTCCACGTGGCATGTTTAAAACCACAAGATTAAAGGGCATTTTGGTACATTTGACATAACTTTAATTTAGAACCACAAGATTAAAAGTCTTCTTTCTTTTCTTAAACTCCGTTTCAAGTCAAACTAGGTCATTCTTTTTTAAATGGAGGGAGTATTCAAAAGCTCAAAAAAATTCTGTTGTATGTAATCATATAGCAATAGTTCATAGGTCTCCCTAGCTTCATCAGTTTCTTCCGCGGACTTATCCACAATTCCTCACTTTGGAGCAACATTGCTCCTTGTCCCTCTTGGCAAAGTGATTTTCCTCTTATTTCTTCTGAAGTGAAGCACAAATGAGCATATCACCAGCAGCAGTTTGGCCTATCTGTCTTTTGTTTTTTGTCAGACAGTGAAGTAGAATCCACCCATTAAGAAGGTTGAAACCCTAAATATATACACCTTAACAGAATCAGTATGCTCGTTGCAGTTAAGCTTAATTATCTATCTTCTTAACCTTTGACTTCAAATTTCTTTTCCCTAATCCATCACTTGTCTAATCCTGACTTGCAATGATACAATCCAAAAACGAAGGATTTCTTGTAGCACTCAATTTTCTCAGCATCCTTGCATCTTATAATACAAGGGATTTCCCTTTACTAGGCCAAATCAGTCACATGAAGATTGGTCAAATTAGACTTAGGTAAGGTAATTGATTTTTCGAAAGCACACAAATCCATATCCGAGGAAGCATTATCTTTTCCCTTACTAGAACGCTCAATATTCAACCATGAACTGTGACAACAGATCACTGAACATCAGCAATTGAGGAAGGGTCCTGACGCCTCACTGTACCTCCTATACTCCAGTGAATCAGAAATATCAACTAATAATTACATAACGGCCTCACCAACTTGGTGAAGAATCTGATGACAAAACCCAACACTCTTAGATATATAAATAAGCCAAGCTATCTGTGCTTTAATTTTACAGTTACCACAAACCCAAAGCAGCCCTACAAAATTCTTCATGCGCTATTATAACGTATATGGCATTCAAAAGGCCAATTTTCGTTCTTATGTGCCAGCATTTGCACATAGAAAAAACAAAAATGTTAATGATTACCATCAATCTTCCCATTATTACTAATGATTAGACAAGTTCAATATGAAGGCAGGAATTGGTCATAGTTTGGTACCATCAATTTCCTAATTATTTACAAGAGTGGAAAAGAAAACTTACTTGTCCAGGACGCACAGCTTTTGGAGGAGAAGATGAGCGTGCAGAAGGTTGTCCTGAACCTGGAGCTTCAAGAGAACTGAGATCAAGAGGTTGATTGGACACGGGAGGGTTTGACATCTGAACATGAGGTTGCAGACCAGAAGGTTGAGCGAACTGCTGCGGAGGAACACCACCATCAGGAAGACCTACCACATCAAGTGAAACAGGTCGTTGAGTAGCTTGAGGGGGGACACCACCATCAGGTAGACCAACATCAACTGCAGATGCACCACCCTGGCTAGGTTGCATTTTAGTGGCTTCAGCACCTTGAGAATTTTGATCCAGCTTAGAAAGGTAAGTCCCAGGAGGAGGTAATGATGCCGCAACATGGACGGATGATATAGTATTCTGGAAGAAGTCCTCCGGAATGGGCCCTGCAGCAACTCCAGCACCCACTGCCTTAGGAGCAAGATTCGGCATAGATGCAGATTGTGTCAATGAATTTGTTCCAAAAGGATCAGCAGATGTTGAAACCACTGGAGCTGTGACTGACCCATTGGTTGCAGAAGAAGGTGGAGGTACAAGTAGGCTAAGTTCTGGGGATGAACTAGTTAATGATTTTGTTCTACTAATCGGCAGGCCCAGCTGTTTTGTGGCTTCTTTTATCTTGTTCACATCCACTGTAGCAGATGTCACAGGTTTGTCTCGAA